GCGCACAATGAGCAGCTGCTGCACTATGGACACGACCCAAACAGGTCCTGGTGACCATACTATGGCAGGAGAAAAAATGATCATGCAATGCGCCACCCACTAGCTGTCCACTACAGCCTGTGGGCTTTGACCTGTATGCAAAAGTATAGATATATATATGTGTATATGTAGGTGCCTTTTTTCAGCAAAGCCTGTTGGCTATTTTAGGTCAAGCCTGTAGGCTTCCTTTTGCAAGCTTAAACACTTTCTTGTTGAAGCCTGTTGGCTGTTGAGTCTTTAGCCTGTTGGCTTCTTCATGCAACTTTGGAGGTTGCTTGTGGAAGCCTGTTGGCTGTTTGGTCTTAAGCCTGTCGGCTCAATAGTCTTCAGCCTGTTGGCTTTTGGCCCAAGCAGGCTCCATTGTGTCCAGCCTGTTGGCTATAGTACAAAAAACCGGGTGGCTTTTCTGATGTGCCAACTCCTGCAGCAAACACTGTGGCCACCATTGAGCTCCTTGCTCAGCATTGGGGTTCAAAGCTGTTGCAGCCCTGCACCACAGACTAGTGACCTTGTAGGTGACATAACACACCTATGGAAGGTGCAGGATTTTGTCCTAGAGCTGGACAATTTGGGGAAGTTGCAAGCAGCTCGACCAGACAGCAAAGTCTGTGAGGCAATGCTGGACAACTTCTGCGCCAGGCTCTCTGCCATTCAAGAATGGACATCCCAGAATGTCTTGGAGATCATGGATAAGGTTGGCTCCATGGCTTTGCCTGAGACATGGAAAGACAAGATCCTGGAGCAGTTGGACCTGCTTGGCTCTCACATGCAAAGCCACCTGAGGCTTCAAGCTACACCTCAGAGAGAGTTAGCAATTTGGCAGCTTACTTGACAGAAGAGGAGTGGAGCAAGCTCAGCCAATGTAGCAACCATGAAGCAATGCAAGTGCTGGCCCAGAGAATGAAGCACCTTGGTATGGTGAGCTTGAAGGAGTCCAGCAAAAGGGATGCAATAGCTTTGCTCTTGCATATGCAAGTGGATGCGCAGCAGAAGCCAGAGCCTTCTAGCAAGATGGTGAAGTCTTTGGTGAATGACTTTGCAGACCTTTCAAGAGAATGCCTGCTCCACCAGGTGCACCTGCAAGCTTGCCAACATATCCACCAGATCCCACTGCTTTGCCAGCAGAGTTTCGCATGAAGGCATACCCTGGACAGCCACCAGCTAACAAGCAGGTCTCTTTGTGCATTTGGCTTCAAAAGGCAAGACTTTGCCAATCATAACAACTGCAAATTAGCAATCTGTGTTCTAGTCATTCATTTTCATTTTTGTTTTGGTCTACTGTTTCTGTCAGGTGATTCTGAGGAAGGGCCATTTGTCCCTGAAAGAACCAGAGGAGACTCCAAAGGCTGGATCGGTTGCAAGAGTGCCTGGTACAAGCTTGGAAACTCAACTCTTGGGACTCTTGGAGAGGTGGGTCCAACCCTCTCAAGAGCCAAGGGTTGTTTACCTTAACCAAAGAAGAGCCAGCAATGACCAGCAAGTGGTTTCCTCAGAGAGCTTGTCTTCAGGCCATGAGCATGCAAGCCAGTTGGCTTTACCTGCACCTCCAAGCCCTTCGCCAAAGCCTCCTTTGCCTTTGCCTAGCACCCCTGCTGAGTCAGCAGTCAATAAGGAAGACTGCAAAATGGACAATGATTCCAACACAGCAGATTTGGCAAAGTTTGAGGAAGAAGCCTTCCAAGCCCTTGCAGCCAAGGCCAAGGCCAAGAAAGGGAAGGGATCACCAAGTGTTGGTTCCACAAAGCCAATGAAGAGACCAAGCGCTTGTCCCAAGGTCAAGAATGCACCTGCTAGAACCAAGTTTGGCTGTCCAAGGTGCAGGGGGGCCTTGGGAGATTGCTCAGTATGCATCCAGCCCACTTACAAGGGCATTCGCTTGGCTGGTAGGGAAGCTTGGAAAACTTGGTACGCTGCAAAGCAAGCAAAGTCCAAGTGATTTTTTTTGAAGAAGGGCAAGAGCTGGCCACTGGTCTTTGAATGCTGCTGGTTGATGGTTAGCTATGTGGAGCTCATATGTGTATGACTTGGCATTTTGGGTGAGCAACTTGCCAAGTGGCATTGTTGTAGGGGTTGCCAAGACACAAGAGCACCAGTTGGCTGTGAAGGCAAAAAGGCAATTGTTAACTGCTGCAAATTTGTTGTGAACTTGTGTCAGCCTGTTGGCTTCTTTTTGTGTGCATGTGAACCTGCAAGCCTGAAGCCGGTTGGCTACAGCCTGTTGGCTTTTCCTGTTTGCTGTGCAATTTACCAAACCTTTAGTGGCTTCAATCTCTGAAAGTTGTGGGCTCTAAGCTTCTCTGTGTAACAGCCAAACCAGAAACTATGAATGCATGCTGTTGCAGCACAGAAACATACACAAGTTGTAATCGGTTACCCCATAACAGAACTTCCCACATC